CATTTGTAGGATCAAAATAGTATTGCACAAAATAATACCAACTGTATTAATTCGGGGCATGTTTTCCGTCAGTCAGCGCTCTGTAAATGGTATTATAAGCACCTTTAACAGTGCTCTTTTCCAACTACCGATTACATTTTCTCTCCCTAAACTTGACTATTTAACTAGCAGTTAAGAATCAAACGAAAATGGATCTCATTTCATGCATGATTTGTTCATTTTAATTTATTAGCATAATTTAACAGCGCCTCAACTACCGTACTCAATGTGCTCCAGCTGTACAGACCATCGACTTGAAACTGGGGAGCAGTATTAATGCTGCCCCTTATTCTCTAGTGCACGTACCGGTGCAACTTGTCTAAGCCATATGCTTATTTAATCAGGTGTACACAGACTGGCTTCCTTCGAATGCTCGATTACTTGTTCGATATCAGCTTTCCCGATCCTCATGATTCCACACTTCCTTTTATGAGAAAATGAATCCACGTGGGCATGATGCACCGTCAAATTGAGCGCGCTGTGGGGAGGGGGGGGGCTGTCGCAACGATCGGCGCTGCTGCGTGCGTCAGTTCACCGCCAGCACTGCCAGCCTCTCTGGCCGACCGCACCTCGACGGCTGCCGTTTGTCCCAAGTTGCTCTTCGGATTTATTGCATTGAGACTTACTTGTGATCGTATCCACATTTGGGCCGTTCACGTCAATGAAGACATCTGTCACTTGATCTACGTGGATTCTGTTTTCGTGGTATAAAAGTCGGCTCGAGCATGGAAGGCTGCACTGATTACCAAGATGTCCGAATTACGAAGTCAAGTTAGATTTTATCCCGAGAAATAGAAGTGTTGAGTTAGTTGAGTTGAGCCGAAGCGTATTTGTTATCCATGTACAGGGACAATATTCAACTCTCCAGTGATTGATACCTTACTTTACGGGGTGGGATATATTTTGATGATTGCTTACTTAATCATCCTCAATCCGTTTCAAATTGAATTCATAGGAGAAAGCCTCAGTTTAAGACATTTGCATAAAATATCTCCTCCGGAAATTGCCCTTGTGGTTCTGAGGATTCTTCTTTCGTTTCCCATCACTTACTTCGAAGTCTTTTCGGTAATACCACAATAATGACAAAATGGCGGACCTCATTTCATAGTTTATGCTTGGAATTACGTCTTAATCATAAAAAGAGGAACTTGTCATCAGATTTTCATTGCATCCTGGCACAATCCATTTCTCCCTCAATATTAATATCTTCCTTTTGTCTGCTCTTGTGAAAGAGTAATAAGTACCACTTGCTTCATTTTAAGAGGGGTCCCTCCCTAATATGTCTCCTTGAAAGGAGCGGTGGTTACTTCGGTTTGTTAGAAGGGAACAATTACTCAGAAAGATGAAACCTTTATTCCAAAAGAGTGGAAAACCACTCAATAAGAGTATTCCCTCGTCTGGCTCTTATACAGAGAGGGCTTCCTCTCTCCTTTTGATGCGTTGCATTGGCGCTGGGTTGAAAACATGAACAATCAAAAATCTGAAGATAGTATCGCGTTTTCTCCCCAAGAGTTGGACAAAAATGTGTTTAAGAAGAAAAGAAGAGATTTCGACCACACTTAGTGGCCACATTGCCATCACGCTCTACGAAGATTTGTTTTCTAAATTCAAGGACGTGGACAAGAAAGCCTGCAGATCTCCAGGGTAAGCCACCCTCTAATTGAATGGAATTTTTTTATGTTCTTTTGTTAAGGATGATCAGTTAGCAGCAATTAATGGAAGGGCATCGCTGGAGTCAATATTTAGGGGGCAGTCGCATCTCGAAGGAAGTCTACAGCTTCGCCTATTACGCGTTTTTACTTTGTGGGTCTTTGTGGAGAATTGAAATTTCAAATGCACTAGCCCACCTGTAAAGGTGCATATGTGCGTTTCTGGTCTGTACTGTATGCGTATGTGTTTACCCCATTTCACTTAGATCGTGTACATTTAAATGGACACTCTTTGCAACTTAGGCGCACGCTGAAAACGTATCCATGGAGAGGCGCCTTCAATTGACAGACATAACAACCTCAAATAATTTATTGGGGAGAAATCATTCGGTAAATGCTGGGTTTTCCATTTCAAACGACAGTGGAAGATGGGGTTCTCAGTATTGAAAGGCTTCATGTGATTGGAAGACCCCCCCCGATGATTGCTACAACAGGCATGTCGCCTTATTGTATAAGGCAGACAGCTGTTCGAAATATTAAAATCGAATTGTGGTGCCAAAAATATGAACAGTAAAATATCGGAACGAATTGCTGCTTGTCGTGGGAGGGGGTAAATCTACGTCGGATGTCAACAATTACACAAACTAATACTATTCTTAGCACCTCGTCTTGACGTTTTACGTCAACCACGGTCCCCTAATTTTTAGCACAAGCGCAAAATTAATTTCATTTTGAATATACACCTGCGACCAGTAAATACTCAGAATCCACTGCCATGCTTGTCAGAATTCGCATTAAAATAAGGACGTTTTACGACTACAAGTACTCAAAAGGCTGAAACATATTCGAAAGGTTTTTATTGAGAACGCTTGACGATTGGCGTCGCAGACGAGATTTCAAAATGTCTACTAATGGGCTGCACATTGAATAAACACAGCAGTTTTAGCATGGACCAATTAAAGCACGGAACACCAAGTAATGGTGCAACTTTTCAGAAATACCTAGGGGCAGTAGTTTTCACTCAATACTTGGCAGAATAGTACCCGGACTCGTGTAGGGATCAGCTCATCGTGTTGTGTGGAGGTTTTGTTTTCATTTGTCCCAATATATGTTGCGCAAGTTAACATGACGCGGCGCGACGGCATTGACGACAACAACTTGACGTGTCTCAGCAAAAACTCACTAAGACCACCTGCGGGCTGCAAGATCATCTTGGAACATCCAACACCAAATAACACAACCGGCTTAGAATTCGTTGCACAGAACAGCCCTGGGGACACTTCTAAATGTGACACGTAATCACGACATGGCAGAGACTACATAACAGAATTACTTTTGTCAGTGTAACAAGTTAAGAAAAAGGAAACCATATTGGTTTTTATTGACATCTAATTATCTGTTTTATGGTTTTTGGCCATGTATTTTCAAGTGGTACTTTAATTATTGCGAAATTACGAGAGGCTTAAATGTGTTCCTAAACTAAGCAATGTGGTTACTTTCCTCTGAAAATCGGTCTTTGGAGCAGGAAATTTAGCCTCTAAAAGTGAAAGTCTTCTTGAACGGACTTCAATAAAGGCATGAGAATCATATAAATTCATCACCGCCAGCAAGCAGATGCCCAATTTCTGACGCAGTACCAGCCGCCAGATAAGACTGACAATTTTTATCCTGGCCTGTTACTAGTCTGCCTTTAACTATCAGTCGGAGTCCTTGTGTAATTTCAGATGACAGCTTTCGCTTGATAGATAAGGTGCTTATCTTTGGACATATATCATTTCGCCGAGGTCCGACGTCAGAGTAGCTGAAAGTGGGATTTCTCGACAGCTAGTTGAAAAAGCTTTAAACTGGTTTTCTGTAGCACAGCAAGCTTCTCCGCAGGAACAAGCAATAAAGCATACCATAACGAAAAATAAAACCACGAGAAACAAACTATCTATAAATAGACACTATTTGCAGAAAGATAATAAATGGAATAAGTCTACGTAGATTAATTACGGTGAATGTTGCACTGCAGAGGACAGTTTAGTGCGCTCTTGGTCCATGCTGGACTAGTCTCTAACTCTTGGTTGTCAATCCATTTCATCTTTTACAACAGCCAAAATTTCATTTCTTTATTTCCGTGTTTTGTTTTTTTTGGATCCAGTTGAGCGTGTATTGACATAAAACACAATGTTTTTGAGATGTAAATATGCTAATCAATTAGAACGCTGAAGTTTTCTAGATGAAAGCCAATGGTCATGAGGGATCTATTTCTGCAGATGTGCGAGTTGCATGATTGATGCAATGGCTTTCACTTCGAGGGCCTGTGTGTTTCTGTGCTCTGTTCAAGTATTGCTCTAGGGTCGCAATCGATATAAGAATCCAAACGTACTTGGTTAAGTCTCCATGCCAAAAGCGATTACAGTTTTTTTGACTACACGGTAATAACTGATGACGGTGTTCCAGCCCTGCTAAACACAACGATATACCTCGCCGTGTGGGTCAGTTCCGTTGCTTCCAGCCGCCAAAATGCTGGAACGTCCCGCGCATAGATCGAAGGAGCAGAAAAGCGATGAAGACAGCGGGTCACCCCCCCCCGTCTCTGAAAGGGCATAATCATTCTGAACGACTTGCATGGTGCGTTTGAGTGGAGCTTTAATGCCTACAGGGATTCTAATGCCCGCTACGGCAGCTACTCACCGGAAGAAAAGGGCAATTTTGGCGCGAGCGTGCAAACAAAAAAAGACTACAAAAGGTCAGTAAAGTAATCATACAGCGGGTTTAGAGTCCATTAGGTGGTTAAATCGAGAGACCATGCAGAAAAATTACAATTTCAGTGGCTTTAGTTCTAGAAATCTTACAAGGACGTCGGAATAAAATAACACAAAGGTCACACTGCAGAGTGCATTGTGTTTGTCGTTAGTAAAGGCTGGTACGGATAGGACTAGTGCCTCTGAAAATAATAAGGGATTGTCTTCACGTCAAAGTGTAAATAAGAGTCCTTTCCCCGTGCACTGTCGTCCTACCTTCCACGACCGGTTCCATTTTTCGGATCATATTACTGGAGGGTGTGACAAACTGTAAAGTCCCTCAGCCTTTCATTTAGTTCGCTGAAAATCATTACCTCTGTGGTCAAGTCTAAGTCAAACCACAAGTCTGATGACAAGTATAAACAGAGGATGAACACTCACAAAGAAACGCCTTTGTCAATCAATTTAGATCACGGAATGCAGCATTAACTGCTTCTTCCTGTGTGGATCCATCCGTGAAGCACTAAAGAAACGACTGACAATCTAACAATGTTTCACCTCTGTTTCCCCCCCCCCTTTTCAGGTATGTTACGTCGTGTACCGCACCCGCAGCATCACCACTGTGACCGGTATGTGCATCACCTCCTTGGCCCTGGCCGATTTATTCCGAGGCATCCTCGTCCTTCCCTTTGTGGTCATTGCCTCCATTTTCGGCGGACGGTGGACCATGGGGGACGCACTGTGCTCTCTGAGTGGGATCGGCTACACACTGTTTGGTACGGCCAGCGTCATGACGTTAGCCGCTGTGTCCATCGACAGGTAAGGCTAAATTCAAAGCACCTAACACAACGAACCACTGTGTGCCGACTTCAGTTTGTGTCAAAACTACTGCACCATAACTGGTTGTAATCCCGGTTTGGACCTCTGACAGCTTATTCAAGCGTCTGACGCTTCAGGTTTACAGACCTGATGGTATGTGCATTGTAAGGCCCGCTCCTGCGAGTGGCTCGGGTCAGGGACAATCATTGTCGCTATCGTCATAAAATTCTGTGACCAGTGATAAGCCTTTTTGAGGACTAACGCACGACTCATGGTATACACTATGGTCTTGATCGCAAGAGGTAGATTTTCGGAACGACTGGTGGCAAATGACTACGAGCATGCGCAGAAATCCGTTTTGACGTTGTACACAACTGCTGTACGACGCCAGTAGCAATGGAAAAGGCACAAGCACGGTGCCATGAAAGTGTACAAATTCCAGCCCTGTGTAGTTGATGTTTGGGGAGCAATAATGCGAAGGGAGGATTCTGAGTAGGCCAGTGTCACATTGCCAGTGTCACACTTGTATTTGAACATTGCCTAGAACTTTCCTCGATATGAGTCAACATTGACTGCTGCAGGTGTGGGATATCGTATTTAATACCTGAGGAACTCAAGCATCCGAGGCGAAGCCAAAGGTGCCGAGGGTGTTAGGAGCATGATATCTAAGACCACAAGAGTCAATAATTGTTTTGTTATACCCCTGTCTTGAATTCCTTGCAATGTTTTTCCCACCTGAAGTGTTTCGAAAACACTTCGAAAACGACGACTGGCGTGGTCCGTTGCTGCACAAAAAGCTGCCCGAATTTGGTGCATGGAATTGGTGGATTGATTTTATTGTGTTGGTTGCACGCGTCTTACTCGAAGGCAATAGCTTCACGGCCTAAAAACATGAATTAAAGGAGCTGTAATACGAAGTTACGAAATTAGGACTGAATGGATTTGATGAGCTCAGTAGAATCACTGTGACAAAACCTGCCGTTAGCAAAAGATTTAAGCGCTCGTCAAACAGCTAATCGTATCTTCCGTAAATGTCAGCTCGCTGCTCCAATTACAGTTTACTGTAGGGTTTCCCGGCTGAATTCAACTTCACAGATCTGTGTTTTTCAGCTTCGGTCAGTAGAATCGACTCTGTGTGATTGCAGTCTTTAATTTCGTCTTGTTGTCCAACCTAGTCCAAACCATGAGCTCACGATTTTGGCGAGGAGCGTCCGTTTTCGTCTCGTCTAAGCTGACGTGTCATTCAGAAAGCAAACCCGCGGTTTGCCACACAGTAATGACGAGTTTGTTCATCATCGTTGATCTTCATTGTGAGATGCAGGCGAAGGCGTAACTGTCATTAACTTGGCACTGTATCTCCTTTCCTCCCTACGCACAAAGTAACGGAAGGAAAATGAGGACCATGGAATTTTTTTGGGTAAATTGCTATCCGTATTTTTTCACTCTTTGAAATTGTTTTACACAGTGTATCTTAAACAAAACCTTGAGTTTGGGGTTTTGTTACATGTCATTCCCCCCCCCCATATGTTGTTAATTTACTGTGCCGAACGGGTGCACAAGGAAAAGCTCAATGACATTCAAGACTGATGTGAATGAAAAAAGACAAAAAGTGACTGGTATAAGACTAGTTTAGTCTGTGAATTCTACAATTGGTAAACAGCTTAGCTGGATTTTATCTGTTATGATGACTTTTCTACACGCGTGTTTAAATGTGGCGATCGAATGTTGAAGTTGAATGGTAAATTTTGAATAAGTTCCACCAAAAGCACGTGAATTTCATCTTGGGCAAATTTAAATACTGGGATTTGTTATTTGGAATACAAAAACTGTTAAAATTAGAATAATTTATGATAAGATGAATATGAGTAGTCTCGTTAGTGGTCCCTGTATTATGGCTTGGACTGCGAGGCAGGGATTAGTTTCTGCTTTCACCATGTGATATGCACATAGGCCTAATATATGAAGAAAATGTGCGTTTTTATTGACTGGTCACGTGATCGTTTTGGACCAATGAATATACAATTACGTTTAAAACAGAGGAAGGCCCTGTAACAAAATTGTATAAAACTGCAGATATATAATCCAGTTCGTTCTGATTCAAGACGTGAGAAGACTTGAAAACATTGTGGTATCTTATTTTTGTCAAGACACACTGAGTGGTCTCATTTAAAATTGTGAAGAGGGGTCCTCCTGACGAATTGTGTTCGATCCACCTCTCTGCCCTGAGATGAATCATCGATAGGCCATTTCCTGTGATATCTTGTTTCCAAGTTCCGGGAAGACCTGGCGGGTGAAGAGCCCAATCGTCCCCTTGGTGTTTATAAACTCATCCTAGGCTTGTTATAATTTGTAATCCCATCCTTGACAGGGAATGACACGCTCACAGAGATATTACCACGGCGCCGGGATTTCAAAGGTATAACCGGGTTGATGCATGGGCAGGACAAACAAGACTTGTAATGAGCAGTTAACGTTTCGGGTGAACTATCACTTTAACGGAGAACCGATGATGCCGTGAGGGAGGATTTTTTCCTCGTTTTGCGTGATATCGCAGAGAAAGAAAGTAGGACTACGTTAGGGTTGTAAAAGCTAGTGGTTTTGGGAAAAGATGCCCATTTCGACCTGTGGGATCGAGTAAAACTGAAACACTTCACAGTCATGTTTTATAAGGGACAGTAGAAAACCGGTGGTTATTCAGCGCTTAGTTGGCGACGCATTATGACTCTTAATCTGGGCTTGAAGTTGTTTTGTTTTGAAGTGTTCTCTACCCACGCTACGCACGTTGGCAATTTTGCTTTTTAGCGAATACGTATAGGGCAATTCGACGAGTTCTAGACGGTTAGGGCAACCCTCAAACATCCAACAGAAGAGGTCTAATTTGGGTAACTTCAACATGAAATAAGCAGCGTGTCAGTTAAAAAATAAAACTTAATAAGCTAAAGTAGGGACGGGACAATGCACACGCACCCTACTATGGTTAACCGGAGTAACCGCGCGAACGTGCCCAAATAATGTCCGTAGAACTATTGCGTTATTTCGCAATAGGCCTACTGTTGGTTATTTCGCATAGTTATTGCATTATTTTGTATAGTTTTTGCGTTAGTTCGCAATGTTATCGCGTTATTTTTCAATACTATTGCATTATTTCGCAATACTATTGCATTATTTCGCAATATCGTTGCGTTATTTCGCAATCAAAATATTTTTGCATAGTTTCAAATTGGCACTAACCGGCTTCCGTATGCGAAGTTCTCAAGATCACATCAGTAAAAGATCAGAAATCTCACATTCGGTTTTTGGAGAAGGGGAGTGTTGAGTCAGTTCAGTTTGAATTTAAATCATAGATCGTAGAGACGTAGTTTCCGTAACATCAAGACTCAAAATACACAGTACTACGAGACCTGACAATCCCTGTTATCGGTGTGTTGGCTGTTGTACAGAACATGATTGAAGCGCAGTTTTGACCCGGGCGATAAGCGGAAGAAGCAGGCTGGCGTAATCATTCCAGCGGGGTTGATGACGCCCTAATGGCCCTCTTAAAATTGCAGCCACGGGATATCGTTGCTTGCTCACGGTACACAAAGCTCGCCGTATTTGCCCTTTGGCGCAGTACTCAGTCACGATTATAGTGTGTTTGCGTCTAGTCGTAAATCCAGCATTCTGAAGCGTGGACAGTTCAGTGTCATTTTGAGTTTCCTTTTTGAACAGGGAACCATGACAAAAACTCTTCTTGAGGGTGTGCCGGTGACATATAGGCCTACTTACACAGTCATGAAGCAGTTACTAATTTTTTTATTAAATAGTTCGGGATCAAGAATAAAATCCTGAGCATCTAAGAAAACCTTACGAAAGCTTATATTTTGCCATAGAAACTAAATAAAACAGATGCAACATAATTATTTGCTACCTGTAGCTAGGAAGCTTGGTCTGTTATTTTCAGAGGGTGAAACTTCGCTGAATCATATCCACTAGACAATAAATGCCAGATTTACTCTCATATACAGAAAAAGTTCGAAAATAGGTTGGAAGCCGACCTATTCAGTGAGTAATTCGTATTGCATAATACATTTTCTTATCCGCTGCATCGGGCGCACCATAGCTCACTCGTTAAAAAATATCTTTGTATATCTCGACACAATGACAGAGGTTTGACTTCCAGGAAAGTCTGTTACTTATTTCATTTTTGTTTAAACTATCTCCCACCTGTTTTAGAGTCAAGAGTTTTGCTTAAATATAATGCATTTTGTGTTTCTTGCAGATATGTGGCCATTCTAAAGCCGCTGAAGTACACATCCATTATAACCTCCACGAGAGCCGCGCTCTTCATCTGCTTGATATGGTTGGTATCCATCCTAATGGCATTACTACCGATACTTGGTTGGTCCCGTTACAGTTTCAACCCATGGAACGGCATATGCATCGCCAACTGGATGGAATACAAACCTTACGCGTGTTTCTACCTTAGCGTGTCGTTTGTTTTGCCCTTCTCCGTCCTTACTTTCTGCTATTACAAAATTTTCAAAGTTGCCCGGCACCAGTCGAGACGTGTGATGTCACTGGAGGTGACGTCAGTCGACGGACGGGGATCCACTGGGCTTGGGGTGAATTTAAGACAGAGACCTCGCAAGGCTAACAACCGACCCCGTCTGGTCATGAGAAAAGAAAAGAAAGCAGCAATGACCCTGTTTACTGTCATGGGCGTGTTCATACTCTGCGTGACACCTTACAATGTCGTGCACCTTGCCTATGCCTTTGCAGGCACATTTAACCTCTTAGTAGCCCTTGGTGTCACCTCCATGCTTTCGTTTGTTAACTCCGCGGCTAACCCTCTCATCTACGGGATCTTAAACCGAAAGTTTCGCCACGTGTTCCTGGAGGTGCTCAAATGCCGCTATTGCCCGCGCTGCTGCTGCGGATCTAGCGGCGGACTCGACGGCTTTCAGCCCGATGACATCCCGTCGGATTTGCCCACGGCCAGCGTGGGGCACAGACTCAAGCCGGTACCACGTGACAGCGGCTACATCACCTCGTACACGCAGACTACGACTAGCACGCGCGGCTGCCGGCCCGACGTCTTCGCGGTGTCGGTAGCGTCAACCAGCAATACGCTGGCTTCTTTGGGAGGCAACATGAAGTCAATAGGGAGGATCGCCCAGGGCCAGCTTCCGATGATTGAAGACATCTCATCGGATGACGAAGAGTTTGCCAGCCCCGGAATCATCAAGAATGGTCGGATGGTGCACCCTAAGAGCGGCCTTAGAGCCAGGTTTCTGGATGTCGCCGAAGCACCTCAATCGTCAGCAGACAATTCCTCGGACCCACTCGACACTACTGTTCCTGGAACAAGCACGAGTAAAGACTCGGGCCAGAAATCACCAGTGGATGATAATGACTTCAGACTAATCCTGTCCCCATCCGCGCTCTGATCCACAACACAAATGGCATTCGTCACTGTGGGCCCGCAGCTATAACAATCTGGCGGGAAACTCTCACCATCCCCTGATTGTTGTTCTTGATTGAAGGAAAACAAGCAAGAACCCATGTGTTGGAATGAGGGGTCTCATCAGAGAGGCGGGGCCACCGTTGTATGATTCAGGCTCGGAGGAAAGTAGGGGAAATATTTTGCTTTCATTTTCTCTCTTGCTTCCATTCAAAACAGGCAGTTTTGTCGTTAAACACGATGGCGTGGCACACAGCATCATTGATAGGAGTAATTGGAACGGTGGTTCATTCACATACATGTATATGCCTTTGATATAATGAGGACCATTAATGTTCTTGGCCACGCTACAAGTGCATGAAAAATTCAAGCGTATTTTCAACATTTCTAATTTAAGAAATGTCACGACCATACTGCGACAGTAAGGTTCATAACTTCCACGTGCAATACACTGGTCGCTGTGTGTCTCGTAAGACGACGACATGGGAAAGTTCCAGTAACGGTCATAGTGTCGACCAATATAGATCTCTCTCACTGGACGCCATCTTTGTAGGAAAATTGCAACTGCGTCAACCTCGTTACCATGGGTACGATCTTGCCACGCCGTGTTGGTTCCCACCATGCCTTGCGCGATCTTAAGTGATCTCAAGCGGTAGTAGAACGCGCACGCAGCCAATGGAATCGAGGTTGCAACTGCGTATACAAAGCCACCAGGTGCATTGAGTAAAAAGTAAAAAAAGGGAAGTTAAAATGTCAATGCACGTGGCAATTTGTAGGAAGTGACGTTACATGAGTGCCGAAGTGAATACGTCAATACATGTGTATAAGGCATTATCGTGGGAACAGTTCTCGGTTGTCTTTTACACACATAGCCGACTTTCCCTGATGTGTAAACCTTTGCACAAAAGATAGGCCTATCCCCAGGTTCCAGGCGAAATTGACGTGTGGTTATTCAAATGGTCGTCTCTCGAAGCTGTCTGGATTGAGCCTTAAGTACAACATTGTACTGTAGTACAGGCCTAGTCATAATAAGCGCAGAAATGAGCAGAAATACTATTTTAGTTGGCCAAACACAAAATACAAAATTTAAATTTAATGTTATTTCTCCAAGGTCAATTTTCTTATCCTGTGAACAGACTGGATTCTGTAAGAAGTCTCGCAGACCGAGGTGAAATAATTTAAGTTACGCTAAGCCCGCTTTTTTGCAAAACAGGAAACGTTACGCGGGCAAAAATGTAGGTGTATGTCCACAAGAAAGTCTCCGGTTTCTGGTCAGGAGCTGGCTCCAAAAGGCAAAAGGGGTGCGGCGACGAGGGTTTTTTTTTACCCTCACTTTTTGCTAGAAATGATGTAGGCTAAGATAACGCGCGATGCCCATCGCGACTGCATGCGCACGGTAACTCCGGTCGCTACCAACATTAAAATAGACTGGTCCCTGCATTTTTTTTTTTTACTGTATAAAAGCATTTTCAGCTTGTACATGTATACAGGACATAAGGCAACCTCGTTTGTCTGGTTCCCATATGTAACTGTATAATACAGAAATGACGTCATCTGAAAAGGAGTGCCCCGCTAAATGTATGGGGGAACTGCCAGGACTCCTTTACTGTACATATTACTCAACTGTACCCCATCAAAAACACGTTAACATTATGCAGTAACAGGATTCCGGTCGATTAAGCAAGTTTGGCAGCTTTTGGACATCGCTGACCCAAAACGGGAGTCTTTTTAGGGCCTATGGTTCCTTTTGTTTTCCCAAGGTTTTTTCCCCCTTAACCTGGTTTACGTGGCGTGTTAAGTGACAGTTCTGTTTGTTTCTGCATGGTCACACGGAACGACTGCAAATCCCATTTTGACCTCCTTACATATGAATTTGGAATAGACAGAGATATAGGATAAATTTTCACATTAAACCAAGCAGTTTCACCTAATCGCGACAAAATCTATATGCACGCTGGGTGATATTCAAGGTAGTAACGGCTGTATCGACAAGAGAGTAGCCCTTCATAAAATAGCCTGCGCATGCCGTGCAAAGTTTGCAGCTTTCTTCTGTGGGCTGTGGCAAACAAAACCAAGTTTCATTATAACTGCCGGGTAGGCCTATATTGTGAAAGATATTGGTGTAAGGAAAGTGTACGTGGAAAAAGTTACATCGATCAAAACCATCTTATTGAGGGAAGAATTTTCTGAAGACGCCAATCTGCTTTCATTGTGGTCAAAGGACATTACAAACCATCATTTTCCGGATAGTCTGCACGGCTTGGTATGGTACGCTGAATGCGTCTGTGTTTCTTAAAACTGATGTCAATATAGTTAGGTGTGTGTGCAAAGAAACCTTCATCATATTAATATTCCCGTGAGATCCGAACAGAAACCTTGCACGCCCGTTTTGGTTCTGTGCACACAGTCAAGCGCACAATGGTCAGCGAGTCNGGGCTAGGCCTACCACACCGATTCGAACAGTGATTGGTACAATGGTCGTTGTACAGGGTTGTCCCAGTGGGTTTTTTGTATACGCATTCAGCACTACATAGAGCTACATGTATACGGTATAAAAGCTCAATGATCCAGCATAAGCCCGGCCTGTGCGCATGGGCATATAACCCATGATAAAAGATGACGGCGATGGACCGACGGCATTGGCAACAAACATCATGACAAAAAAAAATGTCCCAGAGCCTGACATGGTCTACGTGAGGAACTCAGGGGCGTTGCGTAATGCAGTGAGATCATAATCTTCAAGCTGTATGCCCGGAGGGGATCTGCAGGGAGACAGACAATAATTGATTGGATTTTCAGCTTCAGGCCGTGATCAGACCATCGTCCCTGTGAGTCGTTTTAGTTGACGCTTCCTAAGATTGCACAAAATACTAACGCTATCGATAGGCACTTACATCTATAAACTACTGTTTCCACGTGTTTTTAGCTACTCTGGGTCACGTTAATGATATACAGGGTTTTTTTTCAGTATATTGTCTTAACCTAGTTAATCCGAAGAGCCTCAGATAGAATACAGAAGATAACTCGTGGAACTACCAAAAGACGGATGAAACCAAAAAAGCTACAAAAAATTATTTCAAGAAGACCAACTCCGCAGCGCTCCAGTGTTTGGTTTCAATTGAATCGTTTGAGCGGATACTAATAAGATGGAGGAAAACGCAAGCTGTAAAATAGGGCAATTACGACTTATGAAGTGACGGACTCCAGTATCTCGCAACATCAGCGAAATTTCATCGGAAGAATTTTAAAATGGTACAAGTCTTCTCTGTCAGAGAAGCGGAAAATTTGGCGTCCGTGATCGCCGAGCGTCGGATTAACTGTGCTGCAACGCGCTCAAATTTGAGCTCAAAATGTGTCACGGCCAGTTAGACGTACGTCACAGTTGCTCTTCGAGAGACGCGGCTGAAAATTTCGTGGGTTGTTCTCATGAGATTGAGGCTTGACACATCAAAGAAAAACGGGATTTATATGTTTTGAGACGTGAATGTAAGAAACGGGACAAACTTGTCAAACTGCATTGCCGTTAACTGAGGGGATGATTGTCCGGTCAAAACAGTGACATATAATTATGCAGTCCTGGTGAAAGGATTATACAAACTACTAAGTGGTGCAGACAGATGCAACCATTCGCTGTTACAGCCGTACACAGAAGTAGTGCACGTCGGCCGTACCTCGACCTCCGCATGGTCCATTAATACTGTACATGTAGGCCTACACGTGCATCGAAATGAAACGACCCATTCGTGATAATCCGTCGTATCGGCCGCTCTGAGGCTGCAGGACAGTGTGCAATGGACTCGGTGGGAATTCGACCTGTCGGCCGTGCCGAGTTTATCATGTTGATTGATATCTCGCCTACGCATTAGAAAATTGTTGTCTCGTAAATCGGTCACCAGGCGGACGTGCAACACAGGACCACTTGAAGCATGCGCAGCTGCACAAATGTGGGCGGTGAAACATTATTACAAAAGCTGTGAGGAATCCCCCCCCCCAAAAAAATAACCCCTCTCTGAGCAATATGCTTTTTCTCGATGTGAGGCCACTCAAGCGTCACGTTTCAAGCATCACACCACGGACTATAAAACCTAGAATCAAGGTACGACGTTCGTATATAGCACGTACATTGAAGTTTTGGTGTTATTTGCGTCAAAACGATTCCCAGTTTCACAATATTTGCACCAAAATGATTCCCAGTTTCACAGAATCCTTACGTGTATACATGTACATGTAATATGGTATACATGTATTATGCCTGCACATTATTCTGAGCTGTTACGTTATCTTTCACAAGGGGGGGCTCTGTTTTATCTTTTTTTTGATAAGATGGTTTGTGTTTTCTGTCTCGTTGTTGCATAGAATTTGCAGAGTGAATCGTTTGAGAGGCATTATTTTCAGAGTACAACAACAAGCACATTTTAATTGACATATGTTATTCAGCGGCCTTCAAGACTTGGGTCGCTGATCGTCAGACAGAGTGTTGATATCCAATGCTCTGAACACCTTTAAAATGGAAGGAAATTGTACTTTTGTCATTGTATACGCGGTTTTTGGCCGCTTGTGTGAAAAACGCTTGTCGGTGAAGTCATTCATACAAATAAAATGCTTCATTGTGCTATAACACATGCCTCACGAATTTCATAAAATGCATCTGAACTCACAGACTGATTTTGGCAAACAAGCACTTGCTATGGTCATTTTCGTCAATCGGTCGAATGAAACCCATAATTGCGCGGTCCGCCAGTCGGCCAAGACAGCAGGACACGGATTGCAATTTCGCTGTCGTGTATGAAAAAAAAAGTCTGAGGACGGCTTTGCTTTGAGATCGTGTGGTTTTTAAAGAGCACGCTGCAATGTTGCTATGCCTCGCGTAAATGAGACATTTTGCTCCGTTTCGTGATTGGAGCATCAGTTGTACCGGGAGAAGATTTGAGAGGTAGGGGTCTCGTAAAAACATCACTCATCCACATCAATGCTCAACGCGCACAGACACTTGGCTTTCAGAATCCATAAACAGTATGCTCCTTGATGGTTCTAATTTGCCATTTCTGTAAATAAACTGAAAAGAATTACAATGTAGGACTACAGTGGCTTGGTACCTGTCACTAAATATTTACAAGTAAAAAATATCGACGCGGGCTGCCGTTTTGCCTCAAAGATGACAAGTATGCTAGACCTTGAAGAACTTTTCCAATTGCATGTAATTGAAATTAATTGAAATACGAACTTGAAATTAATATACTATGTGATGTATATTTATGTACATTACCCTACGATACACCTGTATTCACGAAATACTGTGCAATCCAAACTGTATTTTTAAAAACGGAAAACTACTTATATTTACGAGAAAAGATGTGAAATTTAATGAAATGCAGATACATTTTATACTTGGTGAATAACTGTGATATGGTATATGATTTTTATATGTACATTTTGTAAGTATTCCCATGTGTAATATTATATTGCAGTGCAACTGTCCATTATTATATGGGTAAAAAAAATAAAGGATGTCTGTTCATAGTTACCAGTAAAGCTGAGCTTCTCTTCGCTAATACTCACAATTCTTGTCGAAATTAACATAATGGAGTAAAAAGCCTGACGTGGCTGTCACACTGACATGCAGACCACAATCAAACATGGGACATCTTTTTAATCTGGCACTTTGTAATGAAAAAAGAAGTGTTCATTCCCATGCTATACATATACTTGAAAATGAAAGTGACAGCGGTAGCGATAACTTCACAAACTTGAGCCGCTTTACTGCAGGCGTTTTATTTGTCCCATTTCTTCAATGAGAACAATGCTGGACAAGTATTAACTTTACACTCCAGTAGTGCACCCCGTCTGTATAGTCGACAAATTATGCTAATGAGGCCAAATCCAGCGTTCTGATTCGTCGAGAGGCTCGAAATGATTACGTAATATCGACTATACAGACGGGGTGCACTACTCACTCCAAATAAGGAAAGAGCATGATGAAATACCAAGGAAATACACGTACATTTTGAGTTATCCATGACCCCAAAAGCAGAAACAAGCACTTATTTCATGATGGGACTATGGCATAACCCCACCGAGTGGGAAAAGAAATTGGCGTGCGTCACGGAACCACGTGTGAATAACTGGTAGTCTGAAACTACGTCAACAACACATATGTCGAGAGAGATACATGCAGTTCAACAGGATCAGGTTTGCAACTATGAGACCCCAAAACATGCACTTCTCAGGTTATTGATAAAGGCCCAAGACCCATGACTAACAATTGCTAAAAGAATCGATACTGTATCCTACAACCTTGATCTTATCCCAAGCAAATACTTCAAGCAAAAAGTGTACAGGCTGGAACAATATAAAATTAATACGTTTGCAATAATATAGCAAAACCCTCAAAAAGGTTATTACTGGTAAAATGTACAATTGAAATCATAACAATGTTTCACATACCTCGTCCAAACAATAAATGCAGGAAAAACAGGCGATAGGGGAAAAACACAATTTTTGTAAACATTTTCTTCTCAGATCTTCCATTGGAAAATCAAACAAAAAAAAACTGTGGGGGAAATAAAAACCAAAAACCTGTTGACACAGGTTGCCAGAAAGTGGTCGCGGAGAGTCGTGGATTTTATCGGCCATGTAATCAAATCCAGTGTGTCTGGGGGGTTGGTATTAAGCTCTCAAAACCAACTAAAAGGCTTCGTTGGATTTCTATTAAGGGTTTTCAGGGCAAGTCGTGACTGGTTCGCTCTTCTACAGATGGGGGATTAAATCAAAGCATCTTTCCTGGGATTGCTAAAGAAAAATGGACAAGTATGTGTATAAATCAACAAGCACTCTTTGTACTTCTCTGTTGGAAGTAGAGAAATATTACCAATCTTCTGCTTTTTGCTCACACGGTTGCTACGATGATTCTTTACAAATTCAGTAACCAGATGCCATAATATTTGTCCTAGCTCTTTAGATCAAAGCTGCAGGTAAGCTACAACAGTGACATGTAGCGCCCATAGCCTTAGGAATTTTTCCAGGTGCCCCCCGATCTACACCGTCAATGTTATCAAGGGTAAGATTTTCTTTCGTAACTACGGGTGAACAAGTATAACGGTACATGTATGTATTAACCAGGTCAGTCAGTGGTGGTTTGTAGATTGGCTGCGGTCTGGTCCCCTACCTCATGCAGATGCTGAGACGTACTGTTTGGCTAAACGATCCAACTCTGCCTCCTGAATGCAAAAAGTGATACAAAAACGCACCAGTGCTAGTGTTTTCTGTTTGATAAAGGAATTCAAACCAAAAGGTAACTACAGTTTTAAGTGATGACAGAATTTCAAGGATTTATTTGAAATGGAGGAAGGATTTCATGCTTTTGTTGGAACTTGTGTTTATTGAACTTACTGAACTTTAATAACCTTAAAGGTCATAAAAAATACAAAGACTTCTTCAAGCATACAAGGTTTCTTCAGGCTTGTGAACTGCAGAGCTACAATTGGGGAGGAAATCCTTGGTTTTACAACCACAAATACATGTGCATGATAATATGTCTATAATATATTTTCATTAGTCGCATACGCGCTCATCTTGTCTCTTTCAATTTGAGCTAAACAGTGAAATTTGTGTGAGACTGCTACAACTGTCACAGGGCAATCAGTGTTCCCCGTAGCAACACTGCGACTCTTGGGTCAAAATTTTGTTCAGAGTCACTGCCTGAGATCATGTGATCAACGGAGGAGGTTTCAGGTGGCCCATGGGCTAATGCGGTGTTGTGTCAGAACGGAAGTACCACTGCTTAAATTACGTCCATTTTCTGCGCCTACTAATGGCTTTGGAAGGTATAATTTACCGAAATCAAATTATCCTCGGAATACTCCTTTGGGCACACAGAGTCCAATATAACACCTCACCCAGCATCTCTGACTGCTTGTGGCAACATCCAACCAACACAGTCCTACTCAAATCGCAATTTGAAACAAGGGGTTACTCTCTCAATTTCATCGGTTACAGACAGGGAAGAAGAACTTCAGCTGAAGAAGGAAAACTACGAAGGAAGAGAAGATTATCCTAACAAATTTCTTGCTTACTCATGATATACATGTACCTGTACGCTGTTTTGGTAATGGTAAACAGAGCCATTAAATAATTCCCAGAAGAAAAGAGTGGAATTAAGCCCTTTGTGAGACTGAGAGAGTTTGGTAAGGAAATCGATTGGATTGGTACAAGTACGGCGATTCAATCAACTTGACTGAAAAAATGTTATTCTGATGCTTGTCTGGCTTGTCAGAAAAGAGTAGAGTTTCGCTCTCTAGAAAAGAGTTTGGCATGACGACATTCAAGTCAGAATAGCTTGCATTGTGGGATTATGAAGGAAAATTGCAGGATGGAGGAGACCAAAATCTCATTTGAGAGTTCTTATAAGACTTTTCTTGAAAGGCAAAGCAGTTTCCTCAATGATCGGAGAGGGGATTTGCGCAGAGGGGGAAATAAAGAATTTCACGGTTCTTTGCAAAGCTGGCTTTGCTCAGGTCGTCGTACTTAGCTGATGAAATTCTACCGGAAGAAACCCCATTTCTTGAAATTAAAAATACATTGGGATGGGGGTGAGGCAGAGATAGTGCCAAAATAAACGCACCCTCCTTTACATTTCTACTTGAGAACCTACAAATTACATTTTCTTGGGGGGGTGTAAGCATGTTCATGCCCACAATCCTAGTTCCACAACCCCCATCCATCTTTGGGTTGTTTGTTCCCTGGATTTCGACAACTTTTTTCTTTCAAAGCAAACCTTACAAAAGTGCATTCCCTCATCAATCTGACTGCCCGTCTGCACATGACAGGAGCATTTACTTTACAGGTTGTCTACTGGCTAATTAAGTGCAAGATTTCCGCCACATAAGCAGAAACAACAGAGGCACAAGACAGTCGCCAGTCGGGAGAAAAACGTAACATCATGCTTGCATGAATGATCCTCCTTATGCGACAGTCGGGCAAACCCGAGCAATGCTTGCTGCACTGGGACCGCTAACAACGGCTGGCAGACTTTGAAGAGCACAAGTAAAAAACCTGGAGTTGCCTGTACCACCTGCTGGAAATTTATGAAATGCTGGTTGTACAACCCCCTTCTTCAGTGGAATCACTGTTCTTTCAGTTCTTTAAAGCTGGGGCGGGTGCGTCCGCTTCAACCGCATTAAGGATCAGCACTGCAATCTATGTACATGTAAATTTAATTGTGGTTGTGTTTTGTCCTTAACATTTCTGGTTTTAATTTTCACATGTATCACGTTTTGCGTGTTCCTTTTCACTTGAATTGATTTGTATACCTTTATTTGGAAATCGTCACTAAAATGCCTGAAAGCTTTCATTTTTTTTTTCTGGTGAAAAAATCTCACGAATTGTTTTATTATTCTGTCAATACTAAGTCTAGTCTTTAGTGTTCATTTGAAGTTAGTTATGTTTTTTAATTCTACGGATTGTGAATGGGATTTAGATTAGGATCTTACTGCAGTTAATTTTGTGATTTGTTTTGATTTGTCCATGTGTTCACGTGCTGCATGGCTGTGAATTGAGACTGCCTGGATTAATATTCCAGATCATTCACATATTATTAAGTGTACAACCATCACCCATTATGCAAATTACTAACATGTAGCACTGACATTGAATCTCACCGTTACAAGCACAAATCTTCTAGCCATATGTGCAAATGCTGTGCAGATGTTAATTGGATTACTGATCGGCTAAAGCCTTCATTAAAATGTGGTTTAATAATCCAAAATAAAAGCAGCCGAACATGATCAGAGTTTTTTTATTTAATTACATCACCCAGCTTTGCTCAGGTGAAAGAACAAGACAGAAATGTAGACCATGGAGTGGAAAATTTGTAGTAGCCAACTTTCTACCGTAACCGTTCATCCACTGCAGGCAACTGTCTATTACGGGCATCTGCTGATGTAGCCATTGGCCTCTCATGGCCATCTTGGAACCTCTCCACCATGGCCAGTTTTCACTGTAGCCATCCTCTTATTATGATCATTCCATCCACCGTTGGCACCTGCCCGATGCGACCACCCAACATGGCCAGTTCAGCTGGACCACCTGTCCAATGTGTACACCTGTCCACAGTGGGCACTTATGATGACTTATCTACAGAGGGCACCTGCAGGTTTTTGCCACCTGTCCACGCACGCATCTCTCTGTTCCGCCCATCTGAAGTTCATCCCCATGGCGACACCTTTATTTGTCAGGTTTTGCCATTCTTTACTCACCCACACAAATAAGCAAATTATTGACAGCAAATTTAATTTGAAAAAGGAGGAAGCCAACAGAGAACCAGAAAGTGCAGACACGTATTGCTTTTCCAAATGACAACTTGGTGCTCAATCTGATTAGCTGACTCGGTCTTCCTCTACAAAACCGTCTTCAAAAACGGCAAGGAAACCCAAGGTTTAAAATCATCGTATATGACAATGAGAGTTTTTTCTTATTCAAGGGTGGATGAACCTCAGGCCAGTCTAAACAAGGGCCAAAAGAGAATTAAAATCCCTACGTCTATCTTCCACTGAATGGCGGTAAGGTGATTTGAATTACAAATTGAAAGGGCCTCTTAAAACGGAAAGATAATACCCACTAAGGATGACTAAAATAGCAATGCTTTCCTGCCGAGTTCATGGTCCAGCAGGATTTGGACATGAAAAGAGAAAGGAAAAGATTACAGAAAAGACAGTATTGTGCTGCTACACAGTGCACAACCACAGGCAGTGCATTTGTGAAACCCATGAGATTTCTGAACTGAAAATCAGAAAGCAAGGGAATAAATTCGGTACACGATATTTTTCAGAAAACTGTTATGGGGCTTGGGAGACTGACAAGGGGTTGGTGTGTGCTCGGACAATCACCGGCAGCACTGAAAAGCAAAGAAAACCCTCCTTCCACCGTGTTATCTCAGACTCATTTGCACTCAGCTATGGAGGTACATGGACATGTATTCTTGGCACCACGACTACACGTACATGACCACCCATTTGAATGGGGGACTGCATCAGCGACGAGAAGATCCGTCTGCACCATCCAAATTTGTTTTGGGGGAAAAAAGAGAGGAAAAAAAAATAGCTATCCAGGGGAAGGGGGCTACTGATATTGAAGGGAGGGGGGGTAGTCTGAGTTATGCCTGCTGGGAAGGGGGCTCTGAATTATGCCTGCTGGGAAGGGGGCTCTGAATTATGCC